AGTCGAGAATTTACACCAGTGTCTGGTTATATTTTAGATAGCAAGAAGCAGACGGCCGAGTTTATTAAACTCCACCGAGACAGCGGTGAAGCTAATCAGAACTAGACCGTCCAATTTCACGCCTTTAAATTTTAAAGGCGTGTTTGTGTGTGTGTTTATACAATTGCTATTATGTTTGCACTTTATGTGTAATGTTACTGACTGCAGAGATCAGTAAGATGTGTGTATTTTTTATTTATTAGTTTTATTTATTTAATATTATTTTTTAATTGAATGACTGTCTAGTAGTTCACAGATGTCGAAAAACTGAGTGTGGTAAAGCCACTGATTTTGTTTATGTATATTTCTGCAATCTGCACATTGTACTGACTTTCATTTTAATGTTTACACCAGGGTTCCTTGTCAGCACTTTATGCTCAGATGTTTGTAAGCTAAAAATAAACTATTGTGTATGTTCAAATATACTGTTGTGATTGAAGAAGTTAAATAAAAATGTCAGTCATCAATTCATGCATGTCATCATGTCATCATAACAGAGGTCTGTCTTCCAGGAAAGAACAGTTTAAAATTAATGTAATATAGTATTGGCCATACTATATGATGTATTGCTTGTCTTTGTTTAATAATACAGAAGACAAAGACCTTAAAAAATAATCGCATATCGCAATCGCAATATTGGGGCAAAAAATCGCAATTAGATTATTTTCCATAATCGTTCAGCCCTAAACAGAAGGACAGTGCAACAGTTCCTGTCACAAATCCAACCCATTTTTTGGTCTGATCTGCTCTGTGATGTTATATCATTCAGGCCTGATTTAATTCATGTTTTTTAATTAAACCTTTTGTTTTCTGTCACAAATGATCTCTTAATTATTAAATAGCTTTAATTGCATTCTGTCATACTAGCAGATAAATGCTAATTATTTAATAATACACTTAAACACGCCATCCATTAGTAAGCAAGTGAATAGCAAAGCTACAGCATTGGTTCTGAGATTTGTATTTGGATGTATATCTTTTGAAATTTCTTCTTCCATTTGTATGGTTTTGATGTACGCTACAATAAACACTGGAACAATGCACATGTCATATTTTTGCATGAACACGAACGTGTCAGAATGCTGTAATGTATGCATGCATTGCCCACCAGCTGCGAGTCCCTCAGTGTGAACGTGTTGTAATCCAAACAATTGTATGTTTTAATGCAGAAAACATTTGCCAGTATAATTTTGATAAATGCAATTCCCTCTAGCAGGAATCTCCCCCCGTACATTTTTTTTTTCAATTTTATCATGTATATACGCGGTTGGATATTAATCGTTAACATAAATAGGCCATACAGTAAAAATGTGTCCGCACAGGTCATAAAGACGGATGTTTCCAGAGAAAAGGGCTTTGACATTTAGGTAAAACTAGCACATAGATGGTAGCATGCCGTCTCCTCCACAAACTTATGCTGCTGGCCGTATAACATGAATAGCCCAATTAAATGGCTGTCCTTGGCAAATCCTCAACCACTTAATTAACTGAAGTTAAATTGTAAGGCATTGCCAACATTTTTAAGCTTAAATTGCTCTAAATATCACTTTGCTTTTCATCCATTTTTTTAATAGTTGTAAACACACCGAACCCTAGCCTCTTATACAACTTATACATATATACACATTCTCTCTGCATTGTGTGTCTGCACATTTGTTCTGTCCCGTGTGGTGCTGTCCTGCTACTGTGATTAGTTTTGTGTTACATTTATATCAGAGTTGCAATCCTGGGGAGGAATCATGCACAAAATGCCTAATATGTCTGAAATTTATCAGTAAATGTGATTCGTGTTTGCAAACTTTAAAACTAAGGCTTCGAATGTGAATGCAAATTAGTTATGTGAATTAGTGAATTCATATTCATGCACAGCTGCTCACTGTCTTCTTTCTGCTACTGTAACATTAGGCTCTGATACACAAAGCCAAAGCTGGGGGGGGGGGTTCATTGCTGCAGAAAACCAGGTGAGACAGAAAGACAGAACTGTGACTGGTATGCATCTCAGACTGTCATACCCCTAATTAATCGACATTAAAACTGCTTGGTGTCAAGTTTAGACTTTGGGAAGAGGAAGAGATCATTTCTCAATCAGAGTAAGGCTTTATAAATAACTGGTTTTCTGTGTTAGCATTATAAAGAAAACTATCACAGTAAGTGAATTTTTCAAATAACGCACCTGATGTGAAGCTGGTTATCTTCTCTACTACCTGCTGCTGCTGTTTGTTTTGTTTTGTTCAAGAATCTGAGGATGTAATGTGCTCACACAGAGCCAGTCCTTTATCCCTGTGGTAGGTAGGTAGGTCAGCTCTGTTCTTGCATGAACACATGCAATCACTTTTAATCAGCTGGTCACATTTGTTAAAAAGCATCTTTTTCCATCAATGGGATAGTTTATTACTACAAGCAATTAAATGTAAGAGGATGCTAAGGGCTAATGGAAGCCATTCCTCCCTTTATTCACCACACGCCGAAAATGCTCATGTGGCTTGTAGCTCATTAACTGTCGCCTCAGAAGCAATTATGTGACAACAAAAAACCTGCTGTGAGGATTAAATGCAAAAGCCACTGGTCTGAAAGATTTTTATCTTAGCCGATGTTTTTGTTGGATATTTCAACCACATTTACAATGCACAAGGCAATAGCAGTGATATCTTAAATCATACCAGACAAGTAACAATGCAGATATAAACTCATCCATGTGTGCATGTCTTTGTTTAGAATCAGTGTGGGAGAAACTGTGAGATGTGTGAGGTTATAGGGAGCCACGTTCGAAGCTGCCTGCGAACACCAATCGACAGCATGCTTTGGTTTACACAGAACACCATCTATACCCTCACATCAGTATTCTGCAGGCTGGAGCTGATTCCAAATTAGGCATAACTTATAATAATAGTGTCTACATTGTGAAAATAAACAATGACCCTGCGTGTGATTCTCTTCCATCACTTGACCATGCACAGCAATGTTGAAAGGCATTTTGTTTTCAGTCATTTACATTCAAGCAAAACATGCTGCATGCGCCCTTAATCATACTTTTTTTCAATCTACTGCACATGCTATACGCCCACTGCAACAAATTGTTGGTACTCTTGGCTTCTCTGCCAACATAATCTACCCAAGACTCAGCGCTCCAAGAGATGGTTGCCTTTTACTGTTTCTTTGGTTTGTATAAGAATGCCCGAAGGTTTTCTCTTTTAGCCATTTTCAACTGTGGCACTGTGTTTACATCCATAATTGAGGGGCCAAAAGAATTTAGCAAATCCATCTTCATGTGTTTTGTGTGCTTAAGAAAATATTCTAACTGCATGCTGTGTTGTTGTGTCATTTATTGATAAGACAACAGGGAAGCAACTTTTATTTCACTTCAACAAAAGTTTGGTCTGGACCTTAATACCAGGATTTATGCCTATATGCATGTATTGTTGGAATAGAAACTGTAGAGGATTCCCATTAAATAATTTCAGAACTTGTGGTGTTTGTGTTAATGATTCCAATAATCAATGCTGGAGAAAACTAAACTGCGTATTAACAATACCACATTATTGAATCACAGTCAGGATTTATTTTCTGTGATGAAGGAAACAAGATTAACTTAAGAGCTGTGATACAAACGTCCTTAGGAGATGATATGATATTACTCCAGAGTGAGCTGATGCACTTTCTTGATGTGAGCTCCACAGAGAAGTTTTCAGGACTGATCATAAAAAACTTCAATTTTACCAGAATTGAAATGGGAGGAAATTTGAGGACATCCATTTTTTTTACAGACAATGAAGCATCCCCTGATGTAGGGGAGGCTGTTCAGGTTGTTAGGCTTGACAAAAAAAGTACAGCTGTGTATCATCAGCATATAAATGGTAAGAAATGGCTTTGAAGCTCAACCAGGGTAACATTAGTAAAGAGAACAGAAATGGGCCAATGACTGAGCCTTGACTGACTCCACATAAGACAGGTGCGGATAAGGACTGAAGTATCTGTCAGATAATTGTGATGAAAACTATTTGAGAGCTGTGGCAGTGATGCCAACCTAATTCTGTAATCTGTTAGTAAGAATGACATGATCAGTGGTGTCAAAGACAGCAGATGAGTCTAGTAGGACCAAAGTGGAATAGTCACCTTTATCTTTAGTGTTGTATTTTTTAGTAATTTTAGGTTATGGTCATGTTTTAGTGGTGCTGTTTGATCAGTAACCAGATTGGAATTAATCAAAGATGTTTCCCTCAGCCAGCTGAAGGAAGTGATGAGCAACAATTTTCTCAAAGATGTTTGAAATAAATGGCTGTTTGGAAATGGGTCTGTAATTCTTTAAAGCAGTGGAGTCTGAGGAGGGAAGAAACTGGTTGTTTTAAAGTAATCTGGATCACAGCGAGATGAAAGGGATTTGTTTGTGATAGAGAGGTGCCAGGGATTTATGACAGGTAAAACCTCTTTAACCCTTTAAAGCCAAATGTATCATATTTTTAAATGACTTTTTGTGAGTTTTTGAGACTTCCACATCATCGGCGTGTCGTGGAACTCATAAATAAAACTCAGACAACAGAAATTTTTCACAAACCTTAGAAGATATAGCAAAGATAGAAAACTGAGTATGATGAATGAGTCAGTTGATAGGGTTGAACCTTGGATTGTGCTTATTATTGTTACTCAAGACAACAAGACATATTTTTTATGAGTTGATGTAAGAATAATGGCTTTCATTAGGCGACAGTTAACAGATATGTCAAGCGTAAAAGCCAGATCCTGTGTGGGGCTGGTAACACATTGCCCTAAATGAATAATTTAGCAATGTTAAGAAATTCTGTTGCAGTACAGTTAGAGGGATTATTAATATCTAACTTAAAGTCACCTGGCACATTTTTTTTGTCAATTGTAACAAATATAGAGCAGATTGGAGAATTTTAAAAAAAATAAAATAAAATTAATCAATCAATAAATCATTAAGCATCTGTCTTTTTCTCTGTCAGGTGGCATCCCCTTTATCCTGACCGGGGAACTGTTTGAACAGTCTTATCGACCTGCTGCCTTCATGATCGCTGGCACAGTAAACTGGCTATCTAACTTTGCCGTGGGCCTCCTTTTTCCATTTATTCAAGTAAGTGGCATTATTTATGTATACTCTCAGGCTACCACAATATCTGTTTTTAATTACACGGTTATCATGACAAAAATAACACACAGTATACTTATAAAACGTATAAAACGTAATCTTTTCTGCCAAATGGGGTTACAGAAAACTGGCAAATGAGGAAAGCTAGCTTCTGTAAAGTGTGAACGTCTCACTCATATCCACAATCATCTGTCAATCAAGTTTCTTAACTGCTTATCCAGTTCTCAGCTGTTACTGGACCGCGTACACCCTCGACAGGTCACCTCTGTGGAGCAATCGTATCCACACACTGGGGTACTGGCCACTGGATGTAAAAGATGAGTGTAGACACCATGACACCAGTCGTTGGTTAGTTTAGATCCATATCAAATATGGACTGAGTATTTTAACCACCATCTCATAGGGTAATGACTTGTTAGTCACAAGGAAGGCCCACACTAAATGCATTTTATCATTCTTTTTAGCATTAATGTGGACCAATTTTTTTATACATAGTTTACCAGTGGCTTAATTTTTTAATATCAAAGCTATGTCCATCTTTTAAATACAGGGAGTGCAGAATTATTAGGCAAGTTGTATTTTTGAGGAATAATTTTATTATTGAACAACAACCATGTTCTCAATGAACCCAAAAAACTCATTAATATCAAAGCTGAATGTTTTTGGAAGTAGTTTTTAGTTTGTTTTTAGTTTTAGCTATTTTAGGGGGATATCTGTGTGTGCAGGTGACTATTACTGTGCATAATTATTAGGAAACTTAACAAAAAACAAATATATACCCATTTCAATTGTTTCTTTTCACCAGTGAAACCAATATAACATCTACACATTCACAAATATACATTTCTGACATTCAAAAACAAAACAAAAACAAATCAGCGACCAATATAGCCACCTTTCTTTGCAAGGACACTCAAAAGCCTGCCATCCATGGATTCTGTCAGTGTTTTGATCTGTTCACCATCAACATTGCGTGCAGCAGCAACCACAGCCTCCCAGACACTGTTCAGAGAGGTGTACTGTTTTCCCTCCTTGTAAATCTCACATTTGATGATGGACCACAGGTTCTCAATGGGGTTCAGATCAGGTGAACAAGGAGGCCATGTCATTAGTTTTTCTTCTTTTATACCCTTTCTTGCCAGCCACGCTGTGGAGTACTTGGACGTGTGTGATGGAGCATTGTCCTGCATGAAAATCATGTTTTTCTTGAAGGATGCAGACTTCTTCCTGTACCACTGCTTGAAGAAGGTGTCTTCCAGAAACTGGCAGTAGGACTGGGAGTTGAGCTTGACTCCATCCTCAACCCGAAAAGGCCCCACAAGCTCATCTTTGATGGTACCAGCCCAAACCAGTACTCCACCTCCACCTTGCTGGCGTCTGAGTCGGACTGGAGCTCTCTGCCCTTTACCAATCCAGCCACGGGCCCATCCATCTGGCCCATCAAGACTCACTCTCATTTCATCAGTCCATAAAACCTTAGAAAAACCAGTCTTGAGATATTTCTTAGCCCAGTCTTGACGTTTCAGCTTGTGTGTCTTGTTCAGTGGTGGTCGTCTTTCAGCCTTTCTTACCTTGGCCATATCTCTGAGTATTGCACACCTTGTGCTTTTGGGCGCTCCAGTGATGTTGCAGCTCTGAAATATGGCCAAACTGGTGGCAAGTGGCATCTTGGCAGCTGCACGCTTGACTTTTCTCAGTTCATGGGCAGTTATTTTGCGCCTTGGTTTTTCCACACGCTTGTTGCGACCCTGTTGACTATTTTGAATGAAACGCTTGATTGTTCGATGATCACGCTTCAGAAGCTTTGCAATTTTGAGACTGCTGCATCGCTCTGCAAGATATCTCACTATTTCTGACTTTTCTGAGCCTGTCAAGTCCTTCTTTTGACCCATTTTGCCAAAGGAAAGGAAGTTGCCTAATAATTATGCACACCTGATATAGGGTGTTGATGTCATTAGACCACACCCCTTCTCATTACAGAGATGCACATCACCTAATATGCTTAATTGGTAGTAGGCTTTCAAGCCTATACAGCTTGGAGTAAGACAACATGCATGAAGAGGATGATGTGGACAAAATACTCATTTGCCTAATAATTCTGCACTCCCTGTATGTGGATATGTGTATCGTTCCCATGATATCATCATTATTAAATATCAATGTTGTAACACTCCTTAATGTTCACACTGCATTTTAGTTATGGTATGATTTTGCAGCTTACTCACTCAGGTTTACAACATCAGGAGCATATATTGAATTTACAATAAAAAAATATATTACAAAAGAAGCCAAAGCTGTAGTGTTATTAACCAAACAATGCATGATTTTTAACCTAATGAAGAAAATGTTCTTGAAAATCATGCTTGTACGCCTGAATGTATTTAAAAATGATGATAGGAAGATGAACTCGCTTCGACTGGCGCTCCGACGCACACCACTTAACTTTTATAAGGTAGTTTTCTTCAAGGCACTTGGATTGAGCACAGAAGACTTTAAACTTAATCCTGACCTTTATGTAAAGCGCAGATATGAAAACTGTGATCCTGCTTCATTTACTACAAGCCTCGCCTGGCACAGCCCTGAGGAAAAGCAGTTAAGCCATGCAGGGCATACTCTACAGGAATTATGAATTGGGGTTTTATTTCCCTGGTTAGTGTGATAATATTGTGAGCTTTAACTCCGTACCAGCAAAATATTGGCAGTAAAAGTTACTGTTAAGGGGCACTTAACCCACTTTACAGATTAGATATTTTCATGAGAATCACTACTTTTGAAAACTGTTTTATAATGTCCCGTCTAGCTTGTAAGCTATTTTCCAAAATTAAGAACTTACCATCAGTGATATCAAAGAGGTTTTAGTTTAGAATTGAATTTTTAAACAAAAATCCTGCAAACTAGAGGTGGTAGTACTGAAAGTTTTTGTACAGATCTGACACTAAGTAAATACAAGGCTGATATTGCCAATACCAATACTGATCATTTTAAGGCAGTGTATGTGAGGAAGAGTAGCGTATCATGGTTTATGAGATGAATCATTATTAATTTGTTAATTCTGAATACATTTTATTAAGCACTAAATCACTGTGATTTTTAATTTTTGGAATAATTACCAGCAAAACAGTCAAAGGAGCTTGCAAAGAAAAGCGTCTGGACTTCTTTAAGTTGCTTGAAGACGTTTCACCTCTCATCCGAGAAGCTTCTTCAGTTCTAAGGTCAAATGGTGGAGAGTGTGGACATAGATGTCTATGTGGACATCTATGTCCACTGTGAGCGACCATCTTTGAACAGAGGCGGGGGTTTACGACACCAACTCTCTGCCATCTATAATCCAGTTTTGAGATCCCTTCCCAGACGCCTTAACGCCCACTCACATCCTGGGCCATCTGACCTCAGGAATTCGCATGATAAGGTGCGGCCAGGTTTCACAATGAACACACCCGAAACTCTGGCTGATTGTGACCCACACCCAGTTTCACACCTTGGCTCAGGTGATTAGAGGATCATCAGGGGGTCCTTTTGTCCCTCTGTGGGGGGTCACTCCCACTAGGTTTATATCTGGGACTCTCCACCATTTGACCTTAGAACTGAAGAAGCTTCTCGGATGAGAGGTGAAACGTCTTCAAGCAACTTAAAGAAGTCCAGACGCTTTTCTTTGCAAGCTCCTTTGACTACGATGACCTGGATGACTGAGAACCTTCACAGACATACCAGCAAAACACACCTTTTATAGCCTTTCGTGTATTTTGAAACTGGGTCTTTCTGCTTCTGTTGTTTTAAATGTGCTACAGACTTTAAATAAATCAAAAATTAACACGATTCATTAGGGAACAAAGTGAACTTGGAGGGTAGAAACAAGTTATCGATCCTGTCATGCTATTATCAATCCAATACCAATACCGGCAGTTGGTATCAATACTATCGATACTTGGATTGATCTATAGTTTAAAAGAAAAGGGCATTTTCATTTCTGGAGTTGGGGATCTTTAATTAAAGATTCAGTTGTATTTTGGAACATGTTGGTATATGTTTGCAGTGTATTTGGAGCTTAACAGCAGTAAAGATTAAAAGTTTGTACAGCCTTCATGAGCTGTGCAGTAATGCTAAAATTTAATCTTACGTGTTTCAGAGATGTTGTGATGTCTGATGTTGTTCATCCATTTAGTCAAAATGTTTTCGAATGTCCAGCAACACTGCGCCTTAACGCATCCTGCATTGATATGTATCCTGCTGTACCGCTGATGCGCCGGTTTCACTGTTTGGACATTTCTTAACAAGGTGTAACAGTGTGAGACGTGACAGCAATGCTGAATGCATAGACACAGAAACAGATTTACATTCAACGCTGCATAAGAGCTCGTGTAGTTTGGTGCCAACAGAAAAGGATTTTTATTTGAACAAGGTGGCGGTTCAGGTGTATTTTCTCCTAACCAGCACACAGCCGATACTCGTTACTTTAGCCTTTTAAAAAGAGCTGCTACAAATAGACAAGGATAGACAGAGCACCCAAAAGTACTGTGCAGAGGTTAATATAGAGAGCAGGCTGAGAGTTTTGCTTTAAATGCACATGATTTCTCAAAAAACTGCAAAAAAAAGATCCTTGAATGTTGTTTGTTAGAAATGAAATTTGGGGTGACATAATAAAAAATATACAGGAGTTGAGGACAGAAGAGCCTATCAGTGTGTAAAACTGGAATGTTTTCTCAAAAGACACCAGGTCCTCTTTCATCTCCTGAAACCCAACCGGTTGCTCCAGGCAACTGTTCGTCGCTGCCTCCTCTCATCGTAACTCTTTTTGTTGCATCCCTGTGTTTTTGTTTGTTTGTTGTTCTATTTTTTTTTCATTGTTTTACTGCAGCATGTTTTACTGCAACTGTTTGGAGAAAAAAATTTGGTCTTTTTGTGCCACAATTTAGGTTGCATTAAAAATGAATAATTTGAGCTACCACAACAACCACATCTTTTCACTCAGACGCACAGAAAAATTA